GGTAGAACTAACCTTATTGGATGTTTAACAGCCATACTTTGAGGCCTATACTAATCTCGTCAGAGGGACTTAAAGGGCAGTTTTTGCCTCTTGCCCTCAAAGGTCGACTAAGTTCCAGGGGACTTATGGAACATCTCTCGAAATGTCCTGTAACTGTGGTGAGTCACCTGTCCTCCCTGTTCAGGGAGGCCATGGAGACCCCACCAGATGGACTTGAACTAGTGTCCAGTCTACAAAAAGGAGGGTCAACTAAGAGGAAACATTTCATCCATGCTTCCAAGTGAAGCCAGACATGGTCGAGCAGGACCTTAGACTTACTTCACACAGATGGAAATGGTAAAAGAAAGGAGCCAGGGACTCGCCCCAAGCCCATGCAACCCCCAAAGAACAGACCCTCAAATGACCTTAAGTGTAAAAATAAATGGATTTATTTGGTCCAACTGTATGGTATTAAACACCCAAAAGGAAAGTATAACCAAGGAGTAAAATCATCAGACAGAAGAGGCCGTTGGATCTCCTGGAATTAGGAGTTATAGACAGTTGTTTGCTGCCATGTGGGTGCTGGGATTCGAACCCAGGTCTTCTGCAAGAACAACCGCTGAGCCATCTCTCCAGCCCCATCAGTATATTTCTTTAAAAGTTCAAGGGATCACACTTCCAAGATATTAGGCTTAACTCCATATAAAAAGTTATTCAGACAATTATTTCTCATTGACGGTTTTGTTCCTAACCAGAAAGTGCTGCTCAGATGTAAGACTTCAAATCTTGGTCTGCAATACTGTAGTGCCCACCTGTAGCTAATGGAGACGATCTGCTATTGTTCTAAAATGATGGATAAATTTGTTTTCTCCCCCTGCTTAGAAGCCTTTGAGAGGGAACTGACACTGATTCTAACCACTCCAAGAGCTATCAAAATACCTGAAAGCAAATCCTGAATCCATCACTCTTGAGCCCAGCCTTGGCGGACAAAAGAAAAATGAGGAGGAACCCAATAGAGGGATGATTTTGGAAGCCCTTGTCAAGAAATTACAATGGATTCGCATATGAACATTTGAAAATTGCCCTGTTCTGACTTTTTTCTAGTTTCCTGTCTAGAACTTGTAATGCTAATTACTCTTGCCTTTACTTCTTCACAAACAAACAAACAAACAAACAAACAAACAAACAAAAAAAGCACTTCATGAAGTAGGTATGATGGTCTAGGCTGTAATCCTAGCACTTGGGTGATAGAGGCAAGAAGGTTGGGAATTCAAGATCATTCTCAGTCACATAATGAACTTGAAAACCAGCCTGGGCTAAATGAGACACTGTCTCAAATAACAAACAAAAGGGTGGGATATTGCTTAGTGGTAAAGCACTAACCTAGTATGTATGAGGCCCTAGGTTCAATATCCAAAACAAAGAAAGAAGGAAAGAAAGAAGTAGATTATGAGTTGTCTTGGCCAAAAGCTACCATAAAACTAGGAACAAAATGTTAATGCATATTAGGATTTTATAGCAGCTGCCACCTTGAAATAGTAATGGGCAAGAAATAAAAGATGACAGATGGAGGACAAATTTTTCTTGTCTAAATACCAATCACTGTAAAGATTTAAAAAATCAAGGATACAGTGCCACAATTTGTCTCATTCTTCTTTTTCTACTAAATTTAAATTTAAGTAAATAGATGAAATTCTATGCATTTTCTATATAATATGATTTTTCTATATAATATTCCTTGTGGATGGCTAAATCTAGCTAATTAACATATGTTATATCACAATTATCACTTCTGTGGTGAGAAAATTCATTCCCCCAGCATTGGTCAAGAATGTAATATTTTGTCATTAACTATAACCATCATGTACACAATAATTAGACTTATCCTTCTACCTAACTGTAGTCGTTTGAACATCATCATCTCAGCAGTCCCTCTCTTTCCTGTCAACCACCTCAGCCTCTCAGAGCCACTATTCTACTGTTTCTCTAAAACTACTTTAGATTCTATATGTATGTAAGATCATGTTGTTCTTATCTTTCTGTGCTTGGCTTAAGTTACTGAGTATAATAATACCCATGTTTACCATGTTGTCAAAGATATTAGATTATCTTCTTTTTATGGTTTAACAGTATTTCACTATATTTATGTGTGTACATATATACACACATTATATACATATATAGTACCTACATTAGATTCTTTTCATTTCTATTTATCTATTAATAAGCACTTGAGTCCATATCTTGGCTACTGTGAATAGTATAGCAATAAATAATGGAGTACAGATAGCTCTTCAACATACTGATTTTGTTTCCTTTGGTTATATACTCAGAAGTCAGATTGCTAGACCATATGGTAGTTCTGTCTTTAGTTTTTTTGAGGAACCCCATGCTTTTCTTTATAATGGCAGCACTAATTTTCCTTTCCACCCACATACAGTGTTCCCTTTTCTCCACATCCCTGAAAGCCTCTCTTTTGTCTTTTTGATAATAGCCATTTTAACAGGAGCATGTCTCAATGGTTTCATACTGCCTTTAAGTGATAGAGGCAGCAAAGAAACTGCAAATAAAAATTATAACTCATTCCATTCTAGATAGACAAAATTTCTTTTTGGTGTGTGTTGGGGGGGGCAGGGTCTCACTATGTTGATCAGGCTGGCCTTGAACTCATAGAGATTTGTCTGCCTCTGCCTCCCAGTGCTGGGATTAAAGGTATGGTTCTTAAATTTAAGCATTACCAGGCTGGGTGTGGTGGTGAACAACTTTAATCCTAGCATTCAGGAGGCAGAGGCTGGCAGATCTTTGAATTCAATGTCAATCAGGGATATACAATGAGACCTTGCCTCAAAACAAAATAAAACAACAACAACAACAACAATAACAACAACAAACCCTTTAAACATTACTTTTAAGGCCTTTAAAGATATCTGAGCCTTCATCTGAGATTTAAATTTAGTAGGTAATTTTAACGGGTGATTTGCACATGTTTTCAAAGACTGCATCTCTCTTATCAGGCTAGATCTACTGAATATAAAAACAGTCATTTCTTGGGCTGGAGAGATGGCTCAGCGGTTAAGAACACTAGTTGTTCTTGCAGAAGACCTGGGTTCAAATCCCAGCACCCACAGAGCAGCTAACAACTGTCCGTAACTCCAGTCCCAGGGGATCCGACAATCTCTTCTGACCTCCGCGGGCATTGCATGACATGGGTGCACTTACCTACATGCTAGCAATACATGCATACACATAAAATAAAAGTAATAAAAAAATTTTAAATTTAAAAACAAACAAAAAAACCAGTCATTTCTGTCAAAGAATTCTTTTTCTACAAGTTGTAAGGACATAATATTAAGAAATGTCTAATGAGGAAAAGGTGTTGGATCACACATTTCTTTACATTTATCCCTAATTGTTATATTGTATATATTGACAGACTAGTTATTTTAGTTATTTTGTAGAGACTACTAATGGTTTATACACTGTGGTCCTATTGTATCTGTGGGGAGCCTAATCATTTGGACAATAATCTCTACCTATTTGCCTTGCTGGATATGTATACAAATTATAGGCAAATAAAATTAAGTTTTTAAGCTATACCCTGGAAGGTATACCTTATCAATTAAGACAAAAATAAAAGACATATAGACTACTGCACACATTAAGTAATGAGTGGAGGCAGTACCCCAAGCCTCAAATGTATACAAAAGCCAAGTATTGCTCTATGTAGAGGAAATCAAAAGTTCACATTTATTGGAGGAAGTCAGTTATCATGATGGCTTCCAAACCAGGTTAAACTCTGGAAATGCCTGGGGAAGTTAAAAATCATATAGAATTTTTGCTTTATGTAATAAAATATAGCCTTGAGGAGTGGCATGGTTTAGTAAGGAGCCCACTGAAGAACCACTACTCTGTAGGAAGCTGCCTGGAAGTAACTAGGACTTTGAGTTTTATATAGATAGCATTCAGAAAAAACTCTTTCTCCATATTCTATTAGGAAGCAGTTGACCTAAAATGCAATGACTGGTCCATTATCAGTAAACTGAGGAAACAATGTTATGGGGAAAATGTTAAAATTAAAAGGGTGGTAGAATAATGAAAAAAAATTTCATTGTGTCTTAGGACTGACAATAAGAAAAGGCTATTAAACTAAAGTTTAAAGAATAAATTACACCAGAAAAGGAGTATTAGGATACCATAATTGCATGAAAATATTTTATATAAAAGTTTCTTAATTCTGAATGTCTGTGAATTTTCTGACCTTGATTCACAAATAACTTCCCTAACCTTCCCTATAATATTGCTTGACTCCTTAATAACATGAAATATACTTATTTTATACTCTCACAGAACCTTCCAGACATGGTAGCTAGCTAATAGTTAATGTCACAGGGCATAGTTTTTAACTTAGAGCTTAAATCTAAGTCAGGCGATACATACTTCAAAAGTCATGAAGATAAAATGAAGAATACTAAGATCTCTGCTTTGTCCAGAAGCTCTCTGACATGCTTATTCTGCTGGAAAAAAAATCTCCAAGAGCAAGACAAAAAAAAAATCCCTTGCTCTCTAAAGTCATGCATGAAGACTCCAAGTCAAAACTTACTTTTTCATTAGCTATACCTCTTTTATCACTAGGGTCACACTGATTTTTTAGAGAGATGTTTTATATTCTCCTAATATATTATGAGCTCCCTGAAGGCAAGACCCCGCTTCTTAGCCAGCACTGTATCCCTGGCACCTTATATACATAGTGTTCTATGCATGTAAGGAACTTGACATACATCTGTTGAATGAATGGATGAATGAATGAGTGACCACCACATGATATCCTGGTCTTTAGAATGTGCATCCTGGGTTTCAGGATCCACTCATGAGTTACTTTGCTTACCCATTTCTTCCTTTCCTAAAACTGATTATTTTAGAGACTATAATTTGGAGAAAATACTTATCAAGCTATAAGTTCTAAACAAACTATTCAATATTAACAAACAGAAAGGTTAATAAATAACGAGACAAAATTTTACCTTCTTGAAATAGTTGTCGGGCATAAGATGGTTCTCTGCCCTGAGGTTGGAAAAACGCATAAATGCATTTCCTTACTAAATCTTCCCAGCCAGTTCTGCCAGCAGCTCTCAGGGAGCTAGTATCAATGGAGATGATTTTACCTACACAACGAATCAAAGTTTACACTTATGAAAGACTACTGATATAAATCATCCACATTTCAAAACTAACAGCTATATCCAAGGAATATTGTGTCTTTGCAAATACTTGATAGAAAAAAGCATTAAAAAGGACCATTCATTCTCAATACACATAGTAATGGATATATTAAAGATATGGTAAAGACTGTTTTGATCTTGGATTGTAGTGGATTAGTATATTAGATTCTAAAATTCAGTTCTAGTCTGAATTAAAATCCTGTTGAGGTTAGGGGTATAACGCAGTTCACAGTATTTACCTTACCTCACTATTATTTTCAGTGAACTCTATGATAATAACAACAGACTGTGATGGACACAAAAGGCCACAATTGGCCAACTTTTAAAGAATAAGAGACTGCAGAGTGTGTGTGTATCTAGATAGGACTGTTATATCAAACCTCTGCCACCCATGGCTCAGGGACCATAGCAGAAGAGGGGGTAGAAAGATTATAAGAGCAAGGGTTGGTCCATGAACATAGGGAAGCAGAGGGTTTCAGGCCACTGGAGGCTTGCACATGTGACTTGTGATAATGGTGGCATTGAGCACAGAACCCGTACCAACTCAATCAGACAAGGGCCCAGAGTGGAGTGAGGGAAATGGGTGGTGGGTCGGCCCTAACTATTGGAGACTGACAACTACTGGGTGAGGGAGAGTAGGCCTTACCAATGATCTCTAGATAGGCTGACCAGACTATTCAGTGGATGAATTTGCACTGAAGGACATCTGGGTACAAATGCTTGACTGGATAAGACTTAACATATATAGAAGAATACATGACTTCTGGTTGTTGGGGGTGTAGGGGGAATGGACGGGGGAGAGGGTCTGAATTTGATTTAAGAACCACTGTATGAGTGTACAAAAGAGATGGCTCAGAGGTTAAGAGCACTGACTGCTCTTGCAGAGGACCCAGGTTCAATTCCCAGCACCCACATGGCGGCTACGAACAGTCCTTAACTCCAGTTCCAGGGGAATCGAAGCCCTCTTCTGACCTCTGTGGCATTGTACAACATGGGTGCACCCACATACATGCAGGCAATACACTCATACACATAAAATAAAAATAATGAATAAAATATTTTTCAAAAAAATTAGCTTTAAATTTTGAGTCTATTTTCTCTTTCTCTGATGTCTTGGTACAAGTGTGAAGTACAGTGCTGTGGGAGAAAGCAATGCAATGACCATAAAGAGAAGTACCTTAGGGATAAATATTTCACTCTAAGCAATCAATTACCCTTTCCCACTCATAAATCAAGTAAGCTGGAATCTGTTACTTTTGAGGGTCTCTTAAGATCAAAAGTTATTTGGGGGTTCAGAGATTAATTTTCTTGGTTTAAATGACCATGGTTAGTTTTATTTATTTATATACATTATCAGGTATAGCTGAAGTGTTAATTTTAATTTTCTAATTTACAGAAATATGAGAATAAGCTGAAATGTACTACTCATAAACTATCTTAGTAACTTACATTAGTGCATGTGTGTGTGTGTGTGTGTGTGTGTGTGTGTGTGTTGTGTATACACATGATGTGTGTGTGTAGTTACACATACCACAGTGGAAGTCTTAGTGGTATTGGTTCTCTCCTTCCACTTTTACGTGGGGTCTGGGGATCAAACTCAGGCTGCCAGGCTTGTGCCAAGTACCTTTAACTCACTGAAGCATTTGCTGGCCCTTTTCCCAACTTTTAAGTCTCTTTCATTTCATTTCTAACACCCTGCAGTCTGACAAAAATCCTTCCCAAAATGTTTTCATTCTGGTGTCTCATAAAGCCCTTACTTGCTTTTGTTTTATATTAATCAATTATTGATACAAAGGCCAGTTTTCTTTTTCAATGGAACCTAGTTTTCTCCATATAAAATATTTCTGGTTTTTAGTAAGGGTTTGTTAATCCTTTTGCAGTGTTGTTCATGGAGGAAAATGGAAGCGAACATAGTACACGGTAGATTAAAAAAGGGAATGAAGGGAGGTGTAGTCTTGTCATGCTCTTAGATAGTCTCCTTAATATTTTCGAATATCTGTGCTAATTTACCACTCACCTTCTTTTTACGAATAACAATCAGGACTTTAAAAACACAAGAATAAAGCATATTACATAAGAATATCAGATTTTTGAGTCAAAATTGCTAAAAATAAAACAATATTATAAAGAATAATAAAAGTCAGAATGCATATTAAAAACTAACAAAGAATAAGTTCTGCTGAAATGATTTTTAAAATTTCTGCTCAAGACCCAGGTTCGAATCCCAGCACCCACATGGCAGCTAACAATTGTCCAGAACTCGAGTTCCAGGGGAATCCAAAGCCCTCTTCTGACCTCTGCTGCATTGAACATCATGGGTGCACTCACATACATGCAGGCAATACACTCATACACATAAAATAAAAATAATAAATAAAATAAAAAAATTCTGCTCACAATATATCTCTACTATCTACTTCTATTTTCAAGAGGTGACTGATAGAGATATAACTGTGTGATGTAAGGAGCTGGAAAGATAGCTCAGTGGTTAAAAGCACTGGCTGCTCTTGCAGAGGACCCGGGTTCAATTCTCAGCACCCACACAGTGGCTAACAACTGTCTGTAATTCCAGTTCTAGGGGAATCCAACGCCCTCTTCTGACCTCTGTGGGCACTGCAATGACACAGGTACACTTACATACATGCAGGCAATACACTCATACACAAAAATTAAAAATAATAAAATATTAAAAAATAACTGAGTGATGTAAAACCATGAAAACATGATAAATTAATGTGAAGATAAAATGAAATAATCTAGGAAAAAGACTTCAGAAATTGTAAACAACAGTAGCAATTTGTTCTTGATGTGAATCAAATCTTAAGCATAGCTTAAGCAATCTCCTGTTGCCTGTTTTGTAGCTCTACTGTCCATCTCTCTGCCCCACTAATCTTAGGGCTTTTGCAGTTGTTTCTTGAATCAGGGGCACCCATTGTGGACCAAGGCCTTTCTACATTGACCATTTTCAACACTCTTACTTAGGACAGTTAATACTACTTCATCCTTAGGGCTCCATGGTCTCAGTATTAGCTCAAACCTCAGATAGACCTTTAAGACTATATAATGTAAAACTGATCCTCAAAAATATACAATATGCAATTATAACATTCACTTTTTGTTTGTTTTGAGACAAGGTCTTGCTATGCTGCTATGTTTGTCCTATACATGTGGGCACAAGTGATCCACTTGCTCCATCGACCAAGCAGCTGAGACTACAGGAGTGCACAATACTGGCATCCATAATATGTCATGGATTTTTACTCAACCACGTATATCTTAAGCAATCACATACTGTGGCAACTACTTCTAGAGACTCAGTATGTATGTTCTAAATAAATTTTAAAAAAAGAACAAAGGAAAAAATTAGCCAAATACATTTAAAATTTTTTTACATTTATTTATTTTGTGTGTGTGTATGTATGTGTGTGTGTTTGTGCACATGCATGTTTTGTGCATGTGATGGGATTGGTTCTCCTATTCTGCCATATGGGTTCCAGGACCAAACTCAGATCGTATGGCTCATAGCAAGTGCCTTTCCCACTGAGTTCTCTGGACAGCCCCATCAAATACATTTAAACATAATAAGTTTAACACAGTAAGCCCACGATATTCATATCCACTTATAAATGTATAACACATTTACATCTTTGTCACCTTTCTTTAAACATTCTCTTCCATAATTATAAAAATAATTTATGATCAAACAAATATAGGCATGTGAATAGTTATGAAAACTGATCTCCACAGCATGATGTCCATGATAATGATTATAACATTTAAAAATGTCAATACTCACATGGCTATTTAAAATGCTTTCTACATAAGACTAGGAAGCAGAGGCTGAATATTACAGGCAAACATAACATTTTGGATATAATTAGTGTTAAGTGTGCAGTTACATTAATAATATCTACAGAACATTTTGAACTTTATAGTGAATACCTGTAGTATCTTGTTTGGTCATAAAGGATTCTACACCTGTAATAGCTGGAGGTCGAGGTAATCGCCGTGCAATACAAATTAAACATGACTGGAAATCTGTCCAAAACAAGAAGGAGAAATTGATGAACAGTGTGGAGAAATGTTTACATCTATTACTTAGCAGCGTTGATTAAAAATTTCATGTTTCAGGATTTATCATAATATCAGAATCATTTTGACATAATAGCACATTACAAATAAGATAGTTGGGAACCAAAAACTGGCAGTTCTAAGTAGAGAGTAAGTTAGAAAAGTTCTTCCCAGTGAATATTTGTACATAAACTTTAAGAGATTGCTGTATCTCATGTACTTGGATGTCAACAACCAAAAATAATGTTTGATTAGACTTAAGCAACACTATTTTTAACTTTATTTTTGTTGTTTTCAGGCATAGAGACTAAGCCCAGGGACTTATATATGCAAAGCACATGCGCTATCATCAGTCTCTACCAACAATGTTTTTTAAATTATGGTTTTGGAACTGGAGAGATGACTCAGTGGTTAAGAGCACTGGCTGCCCTTGCAGAACCCACATGGTGACTAACAATCATCCATAACTCCAGTTCCAGGGGATCCCTCTTTCTGATTTCTGTGGACATTACATGATATAGGTGTACTTACATACATTCAGGCAAAACACTCATACACATAAAATAAAAATAAATAAAATATAGTTTTATTGTCAATATCTTACATTTATTAGTACTTAATGCTGCAGATTATTCTCATAACCACTATAGAGATAATGATCATATAAGAAAAATAGCCTTTACTTCTGAAGTAGTAGTATTTTGTTCTTGATTCAGGACTTTTATGTAAGGAGTCATGGTCTCTGTATATACTATGCTGGTCTGGACAAGTGATTTTACTTTAGAGAGCCTAAGTAACACAAAATTAATTTAGGAGATTCAGTAAAGGGTGTAAGCTATTTATATCTATGAGTCTAAATCTCAACACAAGTGATTTTGATTCACTTGGTGGGACTCTCAAGTATGTTTATGTTTGTTTTAGTTTTTCAGAAAGGGTCTCACAACGTAGCTTAGGTTGGCTATGAACTTGATATATAGACCAGGCAATCCTCTTGCCTCCACCTTCCCAATTACAGAAATTACAGGTAAGTGTCACAGATTAGCAACAGAGAACTTTATGTTTTCAGTAGATACAGTTTTTGAAGTCCCATTTTTCAATTAAAAAAAAAGATGCAATATATAATACCACACAACTAATGACAAAACTTGGTACAGGTAATGTGCGAAAAATTTCCTGTTGACCATGACCTCCATTTCTTGGTAAGGTCTGCTACATGAATTGCTTCTAAAACACTTGTCTCTTCCCTTCTCTGGTCTCAAAAAAGAAAAGGAAGAAAGAAAGAAAGAAATAGAGTCTGCCAGGGTGGTACTTCTCCAAGAGAATGTGATTGTCTCCCTCAAATATACTAATTTACCAACAGTCTTTATAAGCAGAGATAAAATTTTAAATTACAACCTATTTTGCTCAAATGTCAAAGCAGTTAATTCATGATCCTTTTGGTTTATTTCCAGTTATGTTTTGGGAATGAGAAATTACTCCTGCAATTCCAGCACTCACTCATGAGGTTGAGGCATGAGACTCATGATATTGCTTCTAAGTTCCTGGCCAGCTGAGGCTACATAATGAGTTGAAGGCCAGGCTGGGATGTAAAATGGAATTCTATCTTTAAAAGCAAAACAAAGGAAACTATACACAGAAAAAGTATGTAGCAAACTGAATTGCTGCTATGATATAATAGTAAAGTAACCAAAAGTATTATCTGAAGAAGGTAGTGCATAAGTAATTCTCTCCCTGTTCTTTCAAGTCACAGATAAAACAAGAACTTAAAAATGGCCCTTTACCTTCTCCATCTTCTTGAATTGATTTTGGTTGTGACACGGTGAAACACTGCATTACTTCATAACGTTGGCAAGCTTCTTGGTTCTCAGTACCTGGTTCGTCTGGAGGGTGAATTAGCATTCTGCAGTTAAAAGTATGGCTATTTCGGCGTGCTGCCTCTTGAGGCCAAGGAACTCCATTTACTGTGGAAGCAAAATTGATTTATGTTCTGTGAATAAAGTAAGAAAAGCACAAATTCTGAAGATACAAAAAACATACTTCAAAGCATCTGGCTAGTTAGATACATTAAAAGACAGACATACCTTCTCATATCTAATTTTATCCTGAGTCATAGGGTACACCTACCAGTTAGAAACTGTAACATTTCCATAAAAATGTATATGATCTCCTCCCACAAATATATTAATTACTAACAGCCTTTATAAACAATTAGAGACAAAATTTTAAATTATGAGCTATTTTGCTCAGAATGTCAAAGCACTTATTTCATGGTCTTTTTTTGGTTTATTTCCAGTTATGCTTTGGGAATGAGATAATTCAAAACCACAGCTATATTGTTAAGCAGAAATATTCAGAGGTCATCCTGAGTCCTTAAAGGTAGGCTCTGCGTGCATGTGCACATTTTAGGGGCAGAATATTCAAAGTTTCTCCAAGGAGTCTGTGACTCAATACTTAGGTAGAAAGTAATGTTGGCTTCTTATAGCCATTTTCTGTATTTTATTAAATAATTTAACTAGTACTTTATATGCTACAATGCTTTGAATGTGGTAGGTAATTAATAAGTAATGTTAAAAAAAAACTAGCGAACAAATGTTACCTCCTTTAGTAGAAGAAAATTTAATTGAGTTGTAGAAAAGAGGTCTGTGTATTTCAAGTAAGAATCACTAGGTGGTAAGTCATAGCCAGACCATGGAGTTCCCAGATGGTCAGAGGGGTTTTAAAGTTACCCTCTCACCACTAACCCATTTTCCTTTTTTCCACCCTATTTCACTTTATAGCTACACAAGTAAAAGTATAGAAACTAACTTTATAAGTTAACTATATATAACTATAACTATATGGGCTAAGGAATTCTGCTTTTAGCAGGCTGTGAAGTCAGTCTTTACATTTGATTTCCAGCTGCTTCACCTTTAAAATAAATAAAGACATTATTTCTAAAGTCAGTTATACTCTAGAATTCTATAATTAAACACCCAGGATTTCTTGACTCTATAATTTCAACATCAAACTAGTGATTTTATAGAAGCAATCATTTCAGGTTCCCCATTACTACAAACATATACTACTCTCTTCAAAGAAGTAAGGTTTCTATTCCATTGAGGGAACAATGTAGGAAATATGGAGCTACAGATGACATTTTACATGCCTAATCTATTTGTATAGGATTTCTGGCCAGGGCTTTCTCCTCCTACTTTTGGAGCACACATAGGTTAAACAGTAGAAGGAAGTGGAGAGAATAAAATTAATGCAAAAATTAACATACTTACTCATTTTTAGAGCTCTCTTCTCCAATTAAAGGAAGTAATACAAAACATAATTAAGGTTCTGTTCACCACTTAGTTTGCATGATATTTACCCTGATCTTCTCTGTTATCAGGAACAGACTCAGCTTACTGACTGTATTGCAAAGAAAGCTACCTGCTAGATGATGCTAGAGGAAATTCAACTAAATATTTACTTACATTTAGTTCAGGTAAAAAGAAAGAGGGTAGAGCAAAGAAAAACTGGCAGAGGAGTGGCTAGAATCAGGCCAGCCAAGAGAAGAGATAGCAATGGGATGAAGGCACTTCCTTCAAGTTTAATTTCTTAACTTGTTACACCTAAAGTATAAGAAAGGCTTCTAAAAATTACTTGAGAATTTCAAACAAGCACGTGTGTTTTGATCCATCCACCTGATTCCTTCCTCTTCAATTCCTGCCCTATCTCCCCACCACTATTTCCTCTCAATTTCATGTGTTCTTTTTAAAAACTAAGTCAGTCCACTTAGTGTTGCCAGTATATGCAAGGGTATAAGGCCATTTACTAGAGCATGGGTAGCCTCTCAGGGGCCACATCCCTGACAAAAACTGATTTTCTCCCAGCAGCAATCAATTGCCAATAGCTTCTCAAACAGGGGTGGGACCACTTCCCCCTCCATGTTGGTATTTTGTCTAACTTGGCTTTGTGCATGCAGTCACAACCACCATGAGTTCCTATGTGCAACTTCTCTGCTATGTCCAGAAAACAGTTTTGCTATAGTTATCCAATGCCTCTGGCTCTTAATCAAGCTGCTACTGACTTGGGAGCTTCATTCTTACTGGTTAGTTTTCATAGTGATGGAAGGTGCTATGTGCGCTACTCAGGGAGAAAAGTAATCACCAGTCTTAGCCAGCTATGAACACTGAATGATATAATAACTGCCCTAATGAGATATACCTATTGGTGCAATAGTGGCATGTATGTTAGAGGACTAACCAAAAACTTTCTGACAGGATTTAAAGCTTGTTCCACAAGACAGAACTCATGCCTGGCACAATCAGGGTCAAGAATCTGTGACTAGCAAGTCATAGGCCTTACTATTATTATTCTGTCATAATATGGAATGACTCTTAAAGATTTATAGTTACAGATTAGTGCATCTCTCAGTTCTCATTAGAGAAGCTTCTTTTTGCAGTCAGTGGCAATTAACACAGAAATTCAAAACTGGTCAATACTCAGAGAATAAGAAACTATGGAGTACCCAAGTCCTACACGGGACATCTATATCACTTCCCATTCTCCCAAGGCTCATGGACCATCATGAAAGAGGGAGTGGAAAGATTGCAAGAAAGCATTTTGGTTAGTAAAAAATGTTGAGAACTGGTAACTAATTCTGGCAAAAACTTTATATTTTAACTATCATAACTTCTTAAATAAATAAACAAACAAATCTAAGATTACTTCCAAACATATTGAACCTTCCAATATATGCTGGTAAATATTTCAGATGCCTTTTCTATATCCACTTTATAGCATAATCTTCTTTTAAACATTAAGTATTAAAATGATTAATTTTCATGAAAAGATAAACATAAGACTTTGTTTTCTCTGTCAGATGGGAAAAGAATAGATTTAGACTAGAGATATACAGCTCTGACAAAACTCAGTATTTTGTGTGAGGGGGCACTTTATACAGCTAGAAAGTAGTTTACCTACTCTTTATTAAATTAAAAAAACTCATCACAATTCCTCTTTAAAAGGATAAATGTAACAGCTAATGTTTTAAAAATGATAACAATAAAATCAAAGTATTATAAAACAAACAGAAAACCTTTTTTGTTGTTGCAGTAATGGGCATTAAACTCAGGGTCTAACTGCTTGCTAGGTGCTTCCAAGGCTAGTGATCTAACATTGAGCTCAATGCTTAGCTCAAAGTTTTCTTAAAGGTATAAGCAGCCATTCAGCTGACATTTAAAAAAGAACTAAGATGAACTGAACTCTCCTATTGATGTTCTCTACAAAAATATTTGCCTTAACTTTTTGTGGAATAGACAAAGAGACATATTGTGAAACAACTAGACTATTCTTCCATGACATCAATTTCTAAACTAAAAATATAATCTAAAATACCAAGTAGTTTTAAATGATACATTATTATAGCTTCATCATTAATAAAATCAAAAACTCCAAACATTCAGATAAAATAATAGTAATAATAACTAAAACTTAAAGGAAATCCAATCAGGGAGTAGGATAAGCAACATTTGAACCCCCATCTTCCCTTGAAATAGGAGGCCTATAGGGGGTGGGTGTCAAGTGTGCTCCAAGGTCACACTGCTAGTAAGTGGTAGAGGGAGAATGTATTATCCATGACTGTTTTATATCAAAATGTCAGTGCTCTTAACCAGTACAGTATCTGCATCACTACGAACACTAATGCCATGAATTTATGAGAACTTCTTTCAATTTATTTTCAGACCTCAAGCTACAGTTAAAATTTCTCAAATAATTCTATGTTCACTAACATCTTCAACTTTCACAATATCTTAATATCTCTCAACTTATTTATTTTATTTTGAGACAGAGTCTCTTACTGCTACCCAGCATGCCCAGTTTTTGTAAGTAGGTTCTAGGGTACTGAATTCAAGTCTTCATGCTTGTATGGCAAACACTTTACTGACTGAGCCGACTCCCCAGTCCCACATTTGTCCTTTTGGACAAAATCTCTCATTGTATATGAAAAGCTTTCCATTTGCCAATTAAATGTACACTGACCACTGAAAACGAATCTACTTTAGAGAATAGGAATTCATTCACTAGGAATAATTGAAACTTGAGTGCTAAAAAGCTCTAGTATGAATCCCAAAAGTCAGGAAGTAAAGGGTGGCTTTTAGTCCCCTAGAGAATTAGTAGAAGTTCCCTGACTTCTAAAGTCCCAGCCTTGCCCTAAGGTGCAACTTAGTTGATAGAAGAGTTGCTACAAAGCAATCCCATTCATTCTCTTAGCTGGGCTTCTTCCCTGTGGACAACCCATCCCATCATATTTGGGACTCCTGAAAGTTGAAAGAACTTACATCCAAAATGGTTACATTTAATAGGCGTAAAACACAGCAATATACTCCTGCTTATCCTTCCCTTTCTCCTTTTATTTTCTTCATTTTTCTGTGAACAGGGTAGTGAGAAGGGTATACACTTGCCTCTTTCATACATATAATCACATTGGAAATAAAGGAAAATTTAAGCAGAAGTGTCTTACTGTAAGGCAACTAACTGCTCTGTCTCCCACTGCATGGCAATATACTGAAGATAAAGAGGCTTATCAACTATTTGATATATCTTAAGCTGAAACTACATTAAAATATTTAAACTATATTATTTTATATTATTAACTTGTATATGTTATAATACTAAGCATTAGAAAACAGTAATAAATATTATGAAAGGACAAACTAGAGAGAATTAATATTCTTATAAAAAACGAATTTTTTTCTACCTAGTGATTTGGGTAGCAGATTCTTGACAAATTCTGCATGATCTCCCACGTGCAGTATGCTGTAGACACTGGTATTCATTAATTCCTCCTGGTTGTAACCCAAGTAGCTGGTCACATTCTCTGACACAAATACAATTCTTCCTTCACAGTTCACAACAAAGAAAAATCCATCCAAAGCCTGCAATTCCAAAAAAAAAAAAAAAAAAAAAAAAA